CAAACTATTCCGAAAAATCAAAGAGGAAGGAACACTTCCAAGCTTTTTACAAAGCCAGCATTATCCTAATTCCAAAACCAGATAAAGACACTACAAGTAAAGAAAATTACGTGCCAATTTCCCTGATGAAAACATGCTAAAATCCTCAACAAAATATTAGCAAATTAGATCCAGCAATATATTAAAAGGATCATATGCCATGATCAAGTGGGATTTATTCCGGGGATGCAAGGCTAGTACAATATTCATAAATCAATAAATGTGATACATCACATTAATAAACTGAAAGATAAAAATTACATGATCATATCAATAGATGCAGAAAAAGCACTTGACAAAATTCAGCACCTTTTGATGAATCAGCAGCCCTAGCTGGTTTGGCTCAGTGGATAGAGCACAGGCCTGCAGACTGAAGGATCCTAGGTTCAATTCCAGTCAAGGGCACATGCCCCGGGTTGCGGACTCAATACCCAGTAGGGGGCGTACAGGAGGCAAACAATCAATGATTCTCTCTCATCGTTGATGTTTCTATTTCTCTCTCCCTCTCCCTTCCTCTCTGAAATCAATAAAAATATTTTTTAAAAACTTTTAGCAAAGTGGGAATAGAGGGGTCATACCTCAACATAATAAAGGCCATATATGACAAATCTACAGCCAACATAATATTCAACGGGCAAAAAAAGTGTTTCCCTTAAGAATAGGAACAAGACAGGGATATTCTCTTTCACCACTCTTAGTAAACATAGTACTCTAAGTCCTAGCCACAGCAATCAGACAAGAAGAAGAGATAAAAGGAATCCATGTTAGAAAGGAGGAAGTAAAACTCTCATTACTCACAGATGACATGATACTGTATGTAGAAAACCCTAAAGACTCCACCAAAAAACTAATGAATGAATTTGGCATTGCAGCAAGATACAAAATTAACAAGCAGAAATCAATGGCATTTTTATCCACCAATAATGAATTCTCAGAAAGGGAATCTAAACAAACGATCCCATTTACCATTGAAAAAAAAAAATTAACTTCGGAATAAACTTAACCAAGGAGGTAAGGGACTGTACTCAGAAAACTACAGGATGCTGAACAAAGAGATACAGGAATACATAAACAAATGGAAGAATATACCATGTTCATGGATTAGACAAATTAACATCATTAAAATGTCCATACTACCCAAAGTAATCTATAGATTCAACTCAATCCCTATTAAATACCAACAGCATACTTCCCAAAACTACAACAAATACTCCAAAAATTTATATGTAACCATAAGAGACTCCAAATAGCTGCAGCAATCTTGAGAAAGATGAACAAAGCTGGAGGGATCACAATACCGATTATCCAACTCTACTGCAAAGCCATTATAATCAAAACAGCCGATACTAGAACAAGAACAGGCATATAGACAAATGGAACAGAAAAGAGACCCCAGAAATTGACACATACCATTACAGTCAATTAGTATTTGCAAAGGATGCAAGAGCATACAGTGGAGTAAAGAATGTCTCTTCAACAAATGGTGTTGGGAAAACTGGATGAACACATGCTAAAATATG